CTTTTATCCTGGAATAATTTCCTGAATAATCTGTCATTTTATTTCTGAAGGTTTCCAGTCCAGCTCTGTACTGGCTCCTTTCACAGCAGTGTAAAAAAAAAACCCAACATGTTCCTGAAATTGTAGGAGATGAAAACAAGTCAAGTTTTGAACCATCTAATAATTTAAAATGAGAGGGCTTTAGGCTTTTGACTGACGGACATCCTTCCACTCCATCTTGGTGCTTTGTAAAGCCTGTGTCTTCTTCTCGTCTACCTGCACGTAATCGACCCTGTACTCGTCTGCCAGCAGCGGTTTCTGAAAACATCAATAACACAATACCAACAATCAAAACCCTAATCAACATGGCCGAATGTATCAACCCATCAGGCAGATTTACGCCAAGTCATGTTTAGAGCTGAGGGGTTACAAAGCAACAGTAACCGGGACAGGAAATGTTGAGTCACTGTTATCACTGCCTGAAGATTCATTTTATAAAGCCACAGGAAAGATTACTACAAGAGATAGCAGTACCCACGAAAACCCCATAAACACTCACCAAATGATTCCATTACAAACAAACACCAAATGTTTGTCAGATGCATGTAAGAAATTAGGTTCTTAAGCAGATCATGCCTACCACTGACCTTCTGGACAGGTGAGGGGGAGGCCGAATTGAAGTCAAGTGACAAGTAATCCAGCTGAGAACGCCTCATCCAGGGGGCAGAATCACAAGCCGGGAACATCTGCCACGAATCCTGAACAAGGGAAAACACCAAGGCTGTATTTATTTAATAACAAATGAAGTAAGCAGTATTCTGAATATTGTGAAATATTACTATTTTTAAAATAACTTTTCTATTTTAAAGTGCCCCTATTATGGGTTATGAAAGGTTCATATTTTGGTTTTGGGAGTCCCCAACAACAGGTTGACATGCATGCAAGGCCAAAAAACACTTTCATTGTCGTATAATATGCATTTATTTTTTACCTTATTTGCTCAACGACTCCCAAACGATTAATTTAACGATAAATTTTTCCAAACCCCTCCTTTGCATGACGCTAATCTGCGGTGATTAGTCCGATTGGTCTCATTTTCATTTCATCATGCCTGTAATGCCTGATAAAGCAGCATTTGTAAGCACAGTGGTACAGCGTTACCGGGGAAACCGCTATTTTTACTGCTCCAAAAGCTGCACCTAGTGGCAAAGAATGAATTTGCATTTTCATTCAGACCAACTCGAAAAGACCAACAAGTGGGCGGGCAATATGCTAATGTTTCATGTTGCCGTCAACATGAAAGGGCTTGGGATTCGTTTTAAAAACGACTCGTTTCAATGATTCAGAGTCGACTCTTTCTTTTGAGAGACAATAACTTTATACACGGTGCACTTTCAGATTTAAAACTTGGCAGGATGTTTTCATTCACTTAGAGCTGTGTTACACACTGCATGAAAGGTAATTTTCAAAAATCCGTAATAGGGGCACTTTAATATATTTAAATATGTCATTTATTCCTGTAATGGCAAAACTGAAGTTTCAGCAGTCTTTTGTTTTAAAGATATCATTCAAAAATGTTTTTTTTGGTGCGCTAGGAACATTTATTGTTATTATCATTGCTAAAAACAATGCTGCTTAATATTTTTGTGGATTATTTGATGAATAAAAAGTACATAACAAAATTATTGTCACTTCATTGTACCTTTTTTTTTGTTTTAAAAAAAAATGCTTATTATTGCAATCATAGAGCAATCTTTCTTTTTGACATCTACATTTACATCTGCAAGACATTTTTTAGTGTTTGCTCATCTGCAATACATCTATAGGATGTTTCCTATTAGATGTCAAATAGACGTTTAGAAAATGTCTTTATTCTTGCAGACATAAAGTTTTCGCAATACTGTATAACACGAGCAAGAGTGCCCCAAATATCTGCACGATTGCAAATGCGATAGTGATTTTATACAACAGTTCGGTAAACAAGACGTCAGTATTGTGTTATTTTAGACAAAATGTCGTCAGTATTCTCTGTTCCAAACAAAGCCACCACAGCAGAACTCGTGGGCCTTTCCGAGCCACACTCACACACCATTAAGGCGTATTGAATGTTAAAATGCGTTTTAAACAAAAAGTTAAGTGATTATCATTACCCATTTTACTCTTAGTAATTTAATAATTTAATACATTTCATAATTTAAAAGTTTAGTTCAGAAGTATCGAATCGGTATCGATATCGACGATACTGCCTTGAAAAATATCGGTATCGTATCGAAAACAAAATAAGTGGTATCGCCCATCCCTATCACACAGCGGTGTTTTTCGTTGCTACATGAATCCACGTTTATAAATGAATCGAGTGAGCCAATGATTCAGTAACTTGCTTTGTCTCTGAATGAATCAGTCGCTTGAACGAATCGGTTGAATCGGACTGAATGACTTACTGACTTGCCGTCACCTCATTGCGGATATTTTCATATTTACAGTAGCTTATCAGTTCATTAAAAAAAGAGTATATCAATTAAAAAAAAAACGTTTTAATGTCTATTTAAAACTCATTAATCGCATAGAATTATTTATGCAATTCTAGTCCATGCCACCTCTGAACAGTCTGTATAAATACATCTTAATGTCACTCGAGATACAGCTTCTAAAAACAACGTTATGGTCAAATTGTAGCCTTGAACGTTTATGGGTAATAAATTATAGTTTGAATAAAAATATTTATTTATAGGGCTATTTTTTGTAATCTCTATTCAGTGCTTTTCTCATTTAACACATTAATGACTTTTCTATTTTTCTCAGCCATGTGTGCCGGTTACTCCAGTAGTTCGCATGACTTTTAGAAGCGAGTCATTATCATTCAACACATTAGAATCAACTAATTCGTTCAAACACGCTGATTCATTCAGCAACGAAACAATGAGTGAGTTATTTAATTGACTGTTACCTCAAGAAGCGAATTGTTCAAAAACAATGATTAATTCAAGAACGGCACTACTGTGTGATGCTTGGAGGAATCCACTCGATGGGGATTTTTGCGTGAGTATCTGCAAAGTATGTACCAATATTAAAAATAAAATGATTTGATTTTCTTTTTAATTTACACAGTCCCTGTCACACAATGTTAGAATTCGACATTTAATATTCTATACAATATCGTGGCAAGCCAATAAACATCAGTGAATTTAGAGCTTCAAAAAGAAATGTGGTTTCTGTGTGACACACAGAATATGATCATGAGCTTTGCTGCATCTCATCTTCCTCATATTAATTTTCAACATTTCGTCACTCTTCTGTACCTCTCCTCACATGAGATAATCTATTCCATTTCTTTATTTTCGTCTTGTGACATAGCTAACTAATATTTCCAGTTATGTTCCAGTTACTGTAATTGCTTCATGACAGCAGTTATAGCTAACACAGCACACCAATATCACATTGCTCTGTTGTGCAAATACCTTAAAAAACAAACACACAAACAAACAAAAACAAAGAATTCTGAAATAGCACATCCTGTCTTTGAGCTAGACATTAGTCACTTGCACAATATATTCAACATGTGGTAAAATTACATTGCCCAAATGCTGTTTTGGGACATGCAATATTTATTTCCTATTTAAATATTTGCATCTAAAGGCAGCAGGTCAGTCACAATAAGTAATGCAAATGTTTTTAATGTTTTGTAGTACCACATGCTTTGATTGTGAATGATACTGGTAAACCTTGCATTTTTAACCTAGAAAGATTTACCCCGTCTTCTTGGTTTAAGGTTGCGGTCGACTGGAGGAGGCTCAAGGTCAGGATTCGAAGGCGAAGGCAGCTCTGTTTTGCCGTTGGTGAGTAGGGAGATGGGCAGGGTGGAGGGACTCATGGGTATGTAGCCGTCTGAAGTCGCATCAGAGCAGCTGATCGGTGGGGAGGCCATGGGCACATATGAATCCTCAGAGTGGTTTTCGGTAACTGTGGTATTCAGAAATATTGGCTAGAAATAGAGATACAGAGAGAGAAACACACTGACACATCTGGTTTCTTGCAGTGAATATTCAAATTGATGCGTATTTTTGGTGCCTGTTTAACTTTCACCAGGCTCATTTTAGACAAAATGTTGTCCGTATTCGTTGCTAAATGAATCCACGTTTATAAATGAATCGAGTGAGCCAATGATTCAGTAACTTGCTTTGTCTCTGAATGAATCAGTCTCATGAACGAATCGGTTGAATCGGACTGAATGACTTACTCATTAAGACAGTGACTTAGCACCACCTTGGCGGATAGTTTCATATTTAGAGTATCAGTTCATTAAAAAAATTATATCAATTTAATTTTTAAAAATCCTATTAATGCCCATTAAAAAACCCATTAATCTCATAGCATTATGTATGCAATTCTAGTCCATGACACCTCTGAACAGTCTGTGTAAATACACCATAATGTCACTCGAGATGCAGCTTCTAAAAACAACGTTAGGGCCAAACTGTAGCCTTGAAAGGTTATGGGTAATAAATAATACTTTGAATAAAAATATTTCTTTCTAAGGCTATTTTTTGTCATCTCTATTCAATGCTTTTCTCATTTAACACAATAATGACTTTTATCTTTTTCTGAAAAAACAACAACAACACAAAACTGTTATTCAGAAATATTGGCTGGAAATAGAGATACAGAGAGAAACACACTGACACATCTGGTTTCTGGCAGTGAATATTCAAATTGATGCGTATTTACGGTGTCTGTTTAACTTTCTCCAGGCTCATTTGACTATTTTATATTTGAATATTTCTTTACCAGGTTGAGGCTTAGACGTTTGTTCCAGTTTCTTCCAGCATTTTCAAACTCTCCTGAAAACATGAAAGTTCAATATTAAAATATATAACAAATATTATGGAAATGTTTTCATGAGAAAAAGGGGGATGCCCTGCATCCTATTTTCTGAATGAAATCCAATACTTGTTTCTAACTAATTTAACTGATTCCAAAAATAGTGTCTGTTTTGCTCTGGCATGTCACACTTTCATACAAAATATGATGTGCATTTTGTAGCATTCTCGCTTACAACAACCATTTTATAAGGTCAAGAAGTCTTGTATTATCCCCTACTTACCAGCAAAACTGCCACAAAGGCATTGTTCATACCTTCCTCTGAATCAGATTACAGCTGTTTGATAAATTCTTAGCTGTTTTTTACATGCATGACATAATTTGTATGCCTAATACTGATTTCAGGGTAAAAATTATGGCCATTTACAGATTAAAAGTGGTGTTTCTGCTATGTCTGTGGGATTTTAATGAAACAAACAGCAATTTTGTGAGGGGGAAAAAACTTATATACTTGTGTTTATGTAAAGTTGACATTAAATGGTGTATTTGAAAACTTTTCCACTCCTTTGAATACTACTTTTTGTAAAGACAGAAACCAAAAAAACAAACAAAAAACCCCCCTGAAACTTTTGACATTTGACTGCTTTTGTTATTTTGATAAGTGCATTTGTGAGAAATATTTTTATTTATTTTTGTGTGTGCATTCTCACCTCTCCTAAACTGGTCTATTCCTGAAAGTGATGTCCTGCGAGGGAAGAGAGCAGGTTGCGTCTGATTATGGCCGGTATCGTCATTTACATGGTGATCGGACAAGTGTGTAGGTTTGGGCGGGAGGGGAGGAGGCGTCTGTGGGTCTGATGTTCCGTAGAAGGGCCTGTCAAATCTGAAAATGTCTGGTGGACGGCGTAGAGAGATGGGAGATGAGAGGCAGGATGAAAGGGAGGAGGATAGAGAGAGTGGGCCACAGGGGGCGCTGAATGGGGGCTCGGGGACCCCACCCACAAGGAAAGGTGAGGGGGAGGAGTCAATGCGTGGGGTGGGGCTAAACACATCCTCTGTGTACTCAGACGAGCTCTGCTCAAAGGAGCGTTCAGAGTTAGAGATGCTGTCACACCTAGGGAAGGACAAACACACAGAGATAAGCATATAAGCACAAAACAATACTGACTAATGTCAACTAAATGTTTTTCAAAATAAAACCTGTTTAAACTCTTCTATGGAAAATATTTTTGGTTCAGAGAAAGCATATGGAAAATATGTGGTGTGTTGTGTCATAATGAAACAATTTTTTTCTCACTTAGCCTTCGTCTACCAAATGACTAATAATGATTTAGAAATCACAAATTTGCCCAACAAATTAAAAATTTGCTTTCATTTGAAACGCCAGAGGAAGACAAAAAAAGTAAAAAAAAAAGTCTCTGAGACACAAGTCTACATGAAATAAAAATGTACCCTTTTTACTTTATTAGACTTTTCTGGTCTTGTTGTGATTTATTTTGATTTGTGTATTATTATAAAAAAAAAAAAATTATGTATTTATAATTAGAAACACAATGATTTCTAATTCCAATTCATGTTAATGGTAACTAAAGAACTCGTCTAATTTTGAAAACAAATTTCCAAGAACATATACACTTCCATTTAAAATGTTGGGGTCAGTAAGAATTTTTGTTTTTTAAGAAATTAACAGTTATATTCAGCAAGGATCAATTGATCAAAAGTGAGAGTAAAGATATGTATAATGTTACATTTCAAATAAAAGCTGTTTTTTTTCTATTCATCAAAGAACCATTAAAATATGTAAAAAAAAAACAAATTGTCACGGAAACACCTGCCTCACCAGCCGAATCAGCCTCCTACTGCCGCTCACAATCACCTGATTACTAATCACGGACACCTGCACCCACTTACCACACCAGTCAAATACACACTCACCTCAGTCACTCGTCGGCTGGTCTCAAGGTTACAAGCATCTCTGCACGGGTTCCTTGCCTCCCTATCCACCTGTCAAGCCTCGGATTCCTCAGTTCTCGGCCGAAGGACCAAAGTGCCGACCCCAGATAAGACTGTGTTCTCTGCTTCCATTTATTCCTAAGTTTGATTTCTTTATGTTGGAAGCTGCTCCTCAGTTCCCTTTAATAAACTCCCCAACTTACTTTAACCTGTCTGTTTGCCTCGTTGTCCCGGATGTGACAGAAGACCAGCCCCAAAATTGAACGGATTACAACACGGACTCATGGATTCTCGGAGCACATCCTCACCGGAACCCTTACCCGTCCGGACTGTCACCGCCTCCCCACCCGCCTGTTCCATGGCCCGGCCAGCAAGCTTTTCAGGTGAGGCAGCCTTCTGGAGCGGGTTTTTGTTGCAATGTTCCCTCTACCTGGAGATGCAACCACACCTGTTTGTGACCAAGCGGGTCAAGGTGTCGTTCATTATCTCGTTGTTGTCTGGAAGAGCCTTGCAGTGGGCAAAAGCCTTGTGCAATTCGCAAAGCCCGTGGATTCACTCGCTGGACTGCTTTGTGAAACACTTTCGGGAGGTATTCGGCCAATCGACCACGGAGGTCACAGTGCATGAGGAGCTCTTTCAACTGCGGCAAGCCGAGTTATCCAGCCATGGGTATGTGCTTCGCTTCTGCACTCTCGCCGCCAACAGCGGCTGGAACGAGGCCGCCCTGCTCTCGGCTTTCCGCCGAGGCCTCAACCCTGGCTTACGCCAACAGATGGCCAGCTACGATGACACTGTGGGGCTCGACAGCTTCCTCCAAAAAGCGGTTTGCATCTCCCAGCACCTAACCGTGTGCCATAGAGAATCGATACCCGCTGCCGCTGCCTCACCCAGCCTCTCTGCTCCAGCACCAGAGCCCATGATCACGGATAGCTACCACCTATCGTCCACGGAACGATCTCGAAGACTCACCCGTGGCCGAACTGGCCCCAACCGACTACCATCAAGGAGATGCAGAGATTCTTGGGATTTGCAAATTTCTATCGTCGCTTTATCGCCCACTTCAGCCAGTTGGCGGCCCCACTTACCTCTCTCCTCCGTCGGAAAGGCCAAACTCCTCACCTGGGCTGTCCAGGGAAAGCCGCTGGGCAAGGGGCTGGTGCGGCACCGCACACCCGAGGTCGTTCTATGGGTTGGCTGTTTCCACACCGAACAGATCTTGCTACTGGTGCTGGAGGAGGCCGTCATGGACATCGTCCTGGGACGCCCCTGGCTCGCTAAACGTCAACCCACCATCGCCTGGAAGTCCGGAGAAATACTCCAGTGGAGTGTGGAGTGTAAACAGGAGTGTCTACGGGATCTGCCTATCCCGATCTCCATCGGGAACGACCTCCCTGTCTGTTCCACCTCCGTGGAAAGAAACTATCCCCGGCGGAGCAGAACTACGACGTGGGAAATCGGGAGTTACTGGCCATCAAGCTCGCTCTGGAAGAGTGGCGGCATTAGTTGGAGGGGGCCAAGCACTCCTTTGAAGTGATCACAGACCACAAGAACTTACAATACCTCCGAGAGGTCAAGCGTCTGAACCCAAAGCAGGCCCGCTGGGCTCTGTTCTTTACCCGCTTCACTTACCGTCCAGGGACGAAGAATGTCCGAGCGGACGCGCTTTCCCGCCAACACCAACCAGATCCTACCCCCGAAGAACCAGAGCCCATCCTGCCACCTTCCGTCTTCATGTCTCCCATTCAGTGGGCACTCACCGACCAGATCCGTGCCGCCACTCTCACCGAAGCCGCTCCGCCGGGAGGTCCAGAAGGGAAGAACTATGTCCCATCCACCCTGCGTATAACCCTTCTGGACTCCGTTCACACCTCTCCAGGATCGAGACACCCAGGCAGCAGCCGAACCCTCTCGCTCCTCCAGAACCGCTACTGGTGGCCCCACATGGCCCGAGATGTCGACCGGTATATCAAAGGATGTTCGGTCTGTGCCATCTCCACCACACCACGTCGTCTGCCCGAAGGTAAACTGGTTCCGCTACCCATCCCTCGCCGGGCCTGGTCCCACCTGGGTGTGAACTTTGCTACTGACTTACCTCCCTCGAACGGATTCACGACCATCCTAGTAGTCGTCGACCGGTTCTCCAAATCCTGCAAAATAATTCCCCTACGGGGATTACCTACCACCCTGGAAACTGCCAAAGCCTTCTTCCAACACGTATTCCAGAACTTTGGTCTCCCCGAAGACATTGTTTCGGACAGAGGCCCTCAGTTCATCTCCAGGGTCTGGTGAGGGTTTTTTCGCCTCCTGGGAGCATTCCTCGCCCAGAATTCCCTGCGCCAGGAAACCACCGGACTCACCCCGTTTCAATGTGTGCTAGATTACCAGCCGCCCCTGTTTCCTTGGACCGAGGAACACTCGGAGGTCCCAGTGGTAGATCACTGGTTTCGTGAGAGCGAGAGGGTATGGGACTCGGCCCATATCCATCTCCAGCGGGCCATCCGGAGGCACAAGGCCAATGCAGACACTCGTCGGTCTGACAATCCCATCTATCAACCGGGGGACCAAGTCTGGTTATCCACCCGGGACATCTGCCTCTGGCGGCCCAGCAGGAAGCTGAGTCCCCGGTACATAGGTCCTTTCCACGTAGCAAGGCGCATCAACGAAGTCACGTACCAATTACACCTGCCTGCCCATTACCGGATCTCACCCACCTTTCATGTGTCCTTGCTCAAACCCTTCACTAATCCTCTTCTCCCTCCCTCCACAGAACGTCTCCAATGAGACCATCTACAGAGTCAAGGAGATTCTCGAATCCCGGCGGTGAGGTGGCCGGCTTCAATACCTCATAGACTGGGAGGGGTACGGTCCTGAGGAGAGATCGTGGGCAGACAGAGAGGACATACTGGACCCATCCCTCCTCAACAACTTCCACCAGGCTCATCCTGACCGTCCCACTCCCAGGGGCCGCGGTCGTCCTCGCCGTCGGGAGACGCCCATGGGGGGGTAATGTCACGGAAACACCTGCCGGGAGGTATTCGGCCAATCGACCACGGAGGTCACAGTGCATGAGGAGCTATTTCAACTGCGGCAAGCCAAGTTATCCATCCATGGGTATGTGCTTTGCTTCCGCATTCGCGCCACCAGCAGCAGCTGGAACGAGGCCGCCCTGCTCTCGGCTTTCCGCCGAGGCCTCAACCCTGGCTTACGCCAACAGATGGCCAGCTACGATGACACTGTGGGGCTCGACAGCTTCCTCCAAAAAGCGGTTTGCATCTCCCAGCACCTAACCGTGTGCCATAGAGAATCGATACCCGCTGCCGCTGCCTCACCCAGCCTCTCTGCTCCAGCACCAGAGCCCATGATCACGGATAGCTACCACCTATCGTCCACGGAACGATCTCGAAGACTCACCCGTGGCCGCTGTCTCTACTGTGGATCCAATGAGCACCAGCTCCGCACCTGTCCCATTCGTCCACCATGCCCAGCGGTGAGTACTATCCAGATCACTCCTGATGTGTCTTGCATGCCTCATAAATGCTCTTCTAATGTATCACACCCAATCCTTTCCAGTCAAAATCCTCGTGGACTCCGGAGCGTCTGGGAATTTCATCTCCTCCCGCAGTCTTGCCGGGTTACAAATTCCCTGCTGCAAAAATGCCACGACCTACCAGATCACCACTGTCCAGGGAAAGCCGCTGGGCAAGGGGCTGGTGCGGCACCGCACACCCGAGGTCGTTCTATGGGTTGGCTGTTTCCACACCGAACAGATCTTGCTACTGGTGCTGGAGGAGGCCGTCATGGACATCGTCCTGGGACGCCCCTGGCTCGCTAAACGTCAACCCACCATCGCCTGGAAGTCCGGAGAAATACTCCAGTGGAGTGTGGAGTGTAAACAGGAGTGTCTACGGGATCTGCCTATCCCGATCTCCATCGGGAACGACCTCCCTGTCTGTTCCACCTCCGTGGAAAGCTCGGATTCCTCGCATGTCACTCCTCTTCCTCCCGAATATCAGGCATTCCAGGACGTGTTCAGCAAGGTCGCTGCCACCCATCTTCCACCTCACCGGCCATGGGACTGTGCCATTGACCTGCTGCCTGGGGGCCAATTACCTAAAGGACACGTCTATCCACTGTTGATCCCGGAGAGAGCCGCTATGGAGGAATACGCTCACGAAGCCTTGCAACAGGGGTTCATCCGTCCGTCCACCTCACCCGCAGCTCAGCCAGGGGACCAAGTCTGGTTATCCACCTGGGACATCCGCCTCTGGCGGCCCAGCAGGAAGCTGAGTCCCCGGTACATAGGTCCTTTCCACGTAGCAAGGCGCATCAACGAAGTCACGTACCAATTACACCTGCCTGCCCATTACCGGATCTCACCCACCTTTCATGTGTCCTTGCTCAAACCCTTCACTAATCCTCTTCTCCCTCCCTCCACAGAACGTCTCCAATGAGACCATCTACAGAGTCAAGGAGATTCTCGAATCCCGGCGGTGAGGTGGCCGGCTTCAATACCTCATAGACTGGGAGGGGTACGGTCCTGAGGAGAGATCGTGGGCAGACAGAGAGGACATACTGGACCCATCCCTCCTCAACAACTTCCACCAGGCTCATCCTGACCGTCCCACTCCCAGGGGCCGCGGTCGTCCTCGCCGTCGGGAGACGCCCATGGGGGGGTAATGTCACGGAAACACCTGCCTTATCAGCCGAATCGGCCTCCTACACCCGCTCACAATCACCTGATTACTAATCACGGACACCTGCACCCACTTACCACACCAGTCAAATACACACTCACCTCAGTCACTCGTTGGCTGGTCTCAAGGTTACAAGCATCTCTGCACGGGTTCCTTGCCTCCCTATCCGCCTGTCAAGCCTCGGATTCCTCAGTTCTCGGCCGAAGGACCAAAGTGCCGACCCCAGATAAGACTGTGTTCTCTGCTTCCATTTATTCCTAAGTTTGATTTCTTTATGTTGGAAGCTGCTCCTCAGTTCCTTTTAATAAACTCCCCGACTTTAACCTGTCTGTTTGCCTCTTTGTCCCGGCTGTGACACAAATAAACAGGTTTTCTAAAAAAAATATTTAGTAGCACAACCGATTCCAACTATGATGATGATAATAAGAAATGATTCTTGAACACCAAATCAGTATATTAGACTGATTTCTGAAGGATCGTGTGAAACCGAAGACTGGAGTAATGGCTGCTGAAAATTCAGCTTTGCCAACACATGGCTAAATGACATTTTTAAAATATATTAAAATAGAAAACGTTTTGTTGCAGAAAACTGTGATAAACCTGCATAGTTGTTTCATTAAACAGCTATAACCCTCCATAATGATGCCTCAGTATTCAACACAAAACTGCATTACAAAAATCATTGTGCATTTGTATAAAACCATTAAGTCCCTACTTTGCATGCAGGTATATGAAAGTTTTATTTGAATCTAATCACAGTGTGTTATGCTGCAGTGACCAAGATCACAAGATTTCACTGAAGCAAAACGCGTGAGATATTTTCTGTTCTCATTTATTCTCTCAGTCACCTTTATTAAATAAGATTAAAGGAAAAGCCGATAGTCTGACGTTACATGGACTGAATCTCATTTCCGTATTGAGAAATATAATTATTTCTGCAATGTGTGATAAGAAATGGGGTGGGCCTTGCCTGACGATGCTTTTTGTGCCAGTTTCACACTGAGAGAGGAAGAGGTAGTCAAGTGGAGGGCTGATCTCTGATTCGCTGGGCCTGTCAAGGACATCGTGGTTTTCGACGGTAACTGTGTCTTGATTGGCCACAAGAGAAACATGAGGAGAGAGTGCTGGAGAGGGCTGTTGGGAAGAGGGAGTGAGATTAAGACTGTCCATTGATTCTGTCAAAAAGAAAAAGAGAGAGAGAGAGAAAGAGAGAGATTTGCTTTATAGGTTATCAATACGTTTTATCTTATGTCAAAAAAATAAGTGCAATAACCATACTTCACAAATTCAGTTTCTGAAGTACCTTTGCTTTTATTCCAGAAGGTGGCAGACCAAATCACCCCCTTCCAGCCCCCCACACAACACAACCCACACACACACACACATCTCTCTTTGTCTTCCTGTTTACTCAACAGTGTGTTAGTAGTGGGCAGATATTTCTAAATCACTCAGTCGCACATATGAACACATGAGGCTCACGCCTGTTACACACATTGGAAGCACAAGACGCCTTTATAGTTGATTTTTTTTTGGGTGTAATCATTTCTCTTTTTAATAGTAAGCAAAAATATTTTTGGTAGGTGGAACTGAGTTGAAATAATGCAGATAAAGGTCACTGTGGAAAGTTTTGTGCCATTTCCATGGTCATATCTATGTGTGCTTGTGAGAAAGCGATTTCTCTCTCATTTTGGGAATTATTGTTGAGCAGGTTAATTAAATAGGCAATTTTAAATAATCAAAATAGTTTTAATTGCGCATAAACAGAGGTGTCCAGTGGTGATCCAGTGTTTGGACGCCTGATATCACACTCAACCTGCTGGTGCTTGAAAGGCATTGTGAGTAATGCTGAGGTAATGTTGTGGGTAAACAGTCATAGATAACTCCCTTTTGATCACATTGCAGCTAGCATGCTAATCTGAGGGGGATTGTGTGGGCTCACGTAAACACTGCTTCTTTGGCAGAGCCTACTATTGGGTATCCAACACTTGAATAACTGACAATGACTCACAACCTTTCTGTCAGAAGAGAATTCTGAGAGGCACCAGGCGTGTTGTTGTATTCATTTTTGTGATCCTAAATTTACTGTAAACATCAAATGTCTAAGCCTTTTTGAAACACATCTTTTATAAAGATGCAGTGAGATGTGTTTTAATTATTATGTAGAGCTATTTTAACACCTGCAGTCCGAGGTTGCTATGGTAAAGGGATTCAGGAGAACAGAGCAGTAGTTAACAGTTGTCATGGTGATGGGGTCAAAGGGACAGTAGAGATACAATAAGTAGTTGTCATGGTGATGGGTCAGTACAAGTAGTTTAGTTTAGTTTCTTATTTCTTATATAGCACATTTCTACTGCCTTCGGAGCAGAGTAGAGTTGTTGGCTGTCATGGCAGTGGTCAGAGAGACAGTGAAGAGACAGTGAGCATTGTCATAGTGACAAGTCAGTGAGAGTAGAGATACCGTGATGGTGATGGGTCAGAAGGATAATGAAGATATAGTGAGCTGTTGTCATGGTGACTCTCAGGTCAGTGAGATTACAGATACAGTGAACAGCTGTCATGGTGATGGGTCAGTAAGAATAGAGATACAGTGAGCGCTGATATAGATTGAGTGTTTGTCATTGTGATGGTCAAAGGGACAGTGAAGATGCAGTGAGCAGTTGTCATGGTGATGGTCAGAAGGACAGTGAAGATACATTAAGCAGTTGTCATGGTCACAGTTTAGAGTGAGAGACACTGAGAAGTTATGGTAAAAGGCAGAGAGAGAGTAGAGATAGAGTGAGTGGTTGTCATGGTGATGGGTCAGAGGGACAGTGAAGATGCAGTGAGCAGTTGTCATGGTGACAAGTCAGTGAGAGTAGAGACGGTGAACGAACAGGTATCATGGTGATGGTCAGAGGGATTGTGGAGATACAGTGTGCAGTTGTCATGGTGACAAGTCAGTGAGAGTAGAGATACAGTAAGCAGTTGTTATGGTGATGGATCAGAGGGACAGTGAAGATACAGTGAGCAGTTGTCATGGTGATGGATCAGAGGGACAGTGAAGATACAGTGAGCAGTTGTCATGGTGATGGGTCAGAGGGACACTGAAGATATAGTAAGCAGTTGTCTTGGTGACAGATTAGACATATTGAGAAGTTATGGTAACAGGCAGAGTACAATACATATACAGTAAGCGGCGACAGGTCATGGTGTCAGGTCAGAGTAAGAGAAGAGATATAGCAGTGTTCTTTAACTTGTGGCCCCGGCAGAGATCAACATTTGAGTTTACAAAAGTTCACAGAAGCCTTGGTGTAACCGGACCCACACTGTTTTTATCCAGCGTGTGTTCTGAGCATCTTGCACATGGCCTGAAGCGGGATCTGAAACTGCGGCTCTCCAGGTGTGACTACAATCTCTGATGTGTTCTTCTCTCACCCTGCTGTCCATCTGCCTCACTGCAAAAGAGTCTGTTTGTAAGTAAAGAGCTGAGATCCAGTTCACAGCTGGAGTCCTGCTGGGGTTTGTAATGAGGTTAGCGGCTAAGCAGCAACTAAGATTTTGTGTCTCCAAAAACTACACTCGCTATTTCAACAGTACGTCTGATAGTCACCTCTGGCCTCCTTCTGAGACATGAACAACATGACGAAAGATGATAAATTAAGCCTTTTTTATCCTTGCATGTGTGTGGAGAAAAGGGCATAGATGTGCCTGTTGTTCTGTATATAATAGCTTTATCTTTCACAATCGGCCTTTGCCAGTTTAGAGGCGTGTGCAACCGTCCAGCTTGTTGTGTATTAAACAGTAACCATGTGCGTGTGTGTCTGAAACCCTCCCAGCCGCTGTATCACTCATCTTTCTGTTATCTTTCCAAGTAATGTGTAACTTGTGGTTTCTCTCACTCTCTGTGTTTGGTATATCACATTAACCACGCTAACTGCTAACATTTTCCCCATGTGTCTTACATTATTCTTCCAGTTTTAACAAAAACATATTTCCTTGCTGTAATAGCAGTCATATGTGCTGTGGACACAGATTGTGACGCTGGCTGTTTGCTGTTAGTTAAATATATGGGATGCTACGTACTTGTGAGCTGTCTGTTATGACAGACGCATGTGTGTCTGAACACTCCTCTGTGACGCAGCTGTTGCTCTGCAGACTATTTGAAAGAGAGGAAGAGAGATGGAGGAATGGAACAGAATATTAAAATAAGACCTCGCCTAGATTACAGCGTCGTTCTCTCGCGGATTCTGTCTGCATCTCTCAGTCTCTGCATCTCTCTCTGGAGAAACGTCCTGTGGTTAATTATTTCCCAGGCTAGGTTTATTCATTTTAAAACTGCAGTTAGAGGAATGTAAGTATTTAGGTTAATGCAGGGATCTGATGTGGTGAAAAGGGCTTTACGTACAAGGGTTTTTCCTGTTTTAGCTCATCTGTAGCACTTTCCTTTCTCATAAACCCACGCACAAACACGGTACGTATTTATTAACTGCATGTTTACTGCAGAGAAAGGTTAAATCATTTTAGTTTTAAGAATTAGTAGGTTTTCTTTTTCATTAGTACCTTATTATTAATATTTTATAATATATAAATTATATATTTTCCTGTAATCCATTTTTTTAGTGCCACCTGTCACTTGCTGAGGTACAAATAATTACTTATTTTTTCTGTTATTTATTTAGAAAATGCATATATTAAAAAAAGTTTGTCATCAGAAAGAATTTGTTCTTAAAAAAATAATACTTTTATTCAGCACGGATGCATTCAGTTGATCAAAAGTGACCATTTACCATTTTTTGTGGCTATTGTTTTGAACTTTATATACTTTAAAGGATTTTGAAAAAAGTGTATCATGTTTTTAGACAAAAATATTAAGCAATATAATATATTAAACTACTATATTGATAGTAATAAATACGAAATATTTCTTTAGCACCAAATCAACATATCAGAATGATTTCTGAAGAATAATGTGACATTAAAGACAAGAGTAATGACTGCTGAAAATCCAGTTTTCACATCACAGGAATGCATTACATGCATTTTATTTTTCAATAAAATAAAATTAAATAAAAACAGCTATTTTAAATTGTAATCATATTTCACAACATTACTGTTTTTGCTGTATTTTGATCAAATAAATGCAGTCTTTGTGAGCATAAGTTATTTAATTTAATGATAAAACATTATTATTATTATTATTATTAGATTATTTACTGGACAAATCTGCATTCATTCTCACATTCTCATTGTCACATTCTCATGTAAAATAAAAACCTCCTCACCTGCATGTCTGTTCAGTCCACCAAATGTACAAATCTGTCCAATGTTCTGTACCCAGATGTTCATCTCTTCTGCCGTTTTGGCCAGCAGGTAAAAGATGCGTGTGGCTGTCTTGACCACAAACAGGTGCTGATTCTGATACTGGCGTTTAGTGGGCCGCACCTCTGCCTCGATGGTGACCTCGCACTCCTGCAGGTCGATGGTTCTGATTGGTTTCCGGGAGCTCTTGCTACGGTAATATTCCAAAACGTCAGGATTCCCGCTCATCCGACCCCTCCGCAAAACAAACCATCGCTTTCGCCATGACTGAGAGAGAAAGGGACAGAGAGCGAGAAAGAGAGGGGAACAGAACTGGATTAACATTGAAAGCTGTGTGCCCTCACACAGGTTAGCAATCAAGTCAAAAAGTCTCCTTAGATCTTGTCTTGTTTTCAGACTGCAAGCATTCACTGTTCACATGAAAGCAACATTTGCCCCCTTTTATATCTTGACATGTTGGTTTTGATTGGTATTATTTTGAACACATTAGAAAATAAATATTTGTCTTTATAAACTTAAATAATTAAAAATCAGTTGTTTTAAAAAGTAAAAAGTTGTTATCTTTAATTGAAATAAAATTCAACTTAAACGAAAATTAGAAATGTTACCTTGGCAACTGTGACTAAAATAAAACAAGTTTAAGTCAACCACCAAAAAAATTACAAAAACTGAAATTAAGATGAAGCTTAATAGAAATATAAAAAAAAACTAATAAAAAGTTAAAAAGAAAACTATAAATAAAAAAATAAAAGATAATTCAACATTTTAATAATTAATATAATAATATATAAATAATATTAAAATAACACTGATAAAAATATACAAAATTCCTCTGAAACAAATGCCCTTTTCCACTGATGTCACTAAGGCTGGCTATTGGATAATGTTAACGAATATGTAATCGGGCAGAACTGAATAATTATTACAAATTATATATAACTACAAATAAGACTACACAGTGTTAATTTTCACACCATGCAAGATCTGTTCAAACTAGTGGTCGACCGATATATCGCCAAGGCCGATATATCGGCCGATATTTCGCATTTTTCAAATATCGGCATCGGCCGATAAGTTTTTCTGTTTGGCCGATGTGTTCGAGGCGGGACTTTTATTTTGACAGCGCTGAGAACGGCAGCGCCTGAGCGCACACCGCTCACATTCTCCCTCATGTTCGCTGTCGTTCAGTTCTGTCTAATATGGATAGAAGTCTGTCTAATAATCAGATAGAACTGTTAAACAGGAATTAAAATGTATACAAAAAATAACGATTGCTTTAATATTATTAGTAATAGAAAGGCAAACATTATAATACTTTCTCATTTGCCGTCAGCATTCAGCAAATACGCATTTATATCATTTAAACAAATCTTTGAATGACTAATGAACATTTAATTTCACAAACCTTGCAAATTTAGTCGGATCCAGTTGTGAGATCTTGTGAAGTGTGCATGTGTATCCTGCACGATCGCGTGTTCTCTGTGTGACGGTCGGTCCGTGCAAATTGAATGCTGACAGGAGGAGAGTTCAGCTTCACTGGAGACGCGCGATCGACAAACTTTAAACTAAGTTAGTGATTTCAAATTATGCTGCGCTTTATGCATTTGCCCACTGTCATATTCATGTCATTTTCATTGCGTGCTCTATGTAAAATGAGTGTTACCTTGGCTTTATTTGAAAAAAATATATATATATATGATTCCCAATGCACACAAACTTCCCAGAATACTGAGTGCCCTGTTGGTTACAGTGTTTACTTCCTTAATTAGATTTTTAATAAATATTTGTGAAAAAGGCTTTGTCTTCTAAAGTATAAGTATGTTTATTTTACACAATTATTTTTAATCTATTTTCAAATGATTTCAAATTTCTTAAATATAAATTAAAATAAATAAAATTATATCGGCTTTATATCGGCCATCGGCCACCCTGCTTTCCAAGATATCGGCATCGGCCGTCAAAAAACCCATTTCGGTCGACCACTAGTTCAAACCAACTGAGGAGCCAATTTCATTGTGCAATAGTCTACACACAGTAATGAAAACAGCTTGATTTATTTTAAGTTAAGTTTTTAACTCATTAAGTGAAAATGAAACTCAAGGAGCATTCGATGAAATTGCAATAGAAGTAAACGTTGATCATTACAAGAGTTCAGTCATTGCAGAAATTAATGGGTCTAGATTGATACATTTGTGGTGTTTGTATAAGTAAGTTTGATTCATATAATTTCCCTTATTTACCCAATATAAAATTTCACACCAGCGTTGTCCCTTACCAAGCGTAACTGTGGCAAGGCTAGTGTAAATGCAAGAACAAATTTACAGATAAACTTCTGTCTAAGCTGGGCAGGGTGTGGTCTGCAGTCAGAGATGACTTACATACTTACTTTTCAAGAAACACACACAGATTAATCTCTCAGAGCAGAAACAGGTTGTACATATTCTTACAAGTAAATAATCAACACTTACACACCAAGTCAATCAGTATAAAACTCCTGGCTTTACCAGTAACTAGAAATCCAGTTTCTGCACTGTAATCAGTTCCAAAAACATGGTTATTAGATGTATTAAGTTGTTATTCCATTAAAAAGATATTAGGCTATTATGTCATCATGAGGTAATTAGGTTAATATTAGCATATGAGAAAAATGTAAGGGGGTCTGAATACTTTCCGTACCCACTGTACGTTAGGTTATTAGGTCATTATGTCTGATTATTATACAGTGTATTATGTGTTATTAAGGTTTTTGTCCTTTTTTTTTTGCTCTGTTCTATTAAGTGCAAGCAGTACCTGCCTCAGGTGAAATCTGGAAATCTGTCTTTCAGAAAATTCTCCTATGCATGTGACTTTCCATTTTCAATGATGTAACAGAAACTATCATAGAAACTACTGCAGGGAAGAGAATGACAGGGAATAGAGAGAAAGTGGCAGTTCTTTTGTAGTCCCCAGTTAACTCATAGTTTCTCTCTCCTTCTCGCTCTTTTTCTTGTTGAATACTATAACGCAAAAAGATAAAGAAAGTATAGGGGCACCATGCACTGTTTTGAGGGGGCACCAGTGGTTCACTTTATATGCTAGGCAAGATAAACAGAAAATAAATAAATAAAAACTATTAAAACTATTACTTGCTATTCAACATAAAACGTATATATATATATATATATATATATGATCTTTGATAAATTGATTTCAGTTTTTAGGAATTGATATATGACAGTAAGGTGAACTACAATTAGAAAGCCAAACTGACCATCAGATGCGGCACCAAAAACCCACCTAAAACCCAAATCAAACAAGCTTGAGAAACAAACACCATCTGTCATTGCCACTAACTTATAGTCACTAACTGCAGTTAGACTAGATCCTTATTCCAGTGAAAGAAGAGAAAGTTCAGCATTTTTGCATGGCCTTAAGGTTGCACACATGCTTTTAGTGTAACAGCCTCGATCCTGAATGTTCTGAAACCATCAGCAATTTGTACGGTCTGTTTTGCTTATGTCTGACAGCATTCAGTTCTCTGTTGTGTCAAGTTAAAGTGTCTTTGTTCACTTAGTTGCTGTTTTTTTTCTGTAACCAAGATTTCACCACAGCGGTCAGCTGTTACACAGCACCTGACGGTAAAGATATCACACACAGGCCTCCAAGAATCTAAATAATCTAATTAACACACCAGCAGGGGAGCGTCATTAAGATCTCTTGAGAAACAAGACCAGTTTTCTGAGCATTTCTCTATTTATGTTCAATTCATTCTAAAAAAATACGCTTCTTTCTTACAGCAATATTTTAAAAAGACCACCGTCTCACACTTGTATCATCAGGAAGACCCTGACTTCCTTCCTTGAGTTTTTTTTTCCCAGATGTCCAATATGATCTAAACAAATACATAATGGGTAAGAAAGCCGTAGAGCTGCAGGATTTCGATCCCTCTAGCATCACAAGACAAACTCTCTTCCTCTTCTTTGAGATCCAGACTAAGTGCTGACATGAGTCCTGAGAGCCATATTAAGCAAGAAGAGGCCAGGTTCTTTTTAGATGGACATGCTAAGTAAATGTGAATCTAAACTAACATTTAACAATGTGTTTTGTTTTCTTCCTAAGGGTAACAACAAAGAGTAAATAGTAAATGTTTCTAACGATAGTCTTGATGAAGTCTTTGTTTTGTGAATCATCGAATCATTCATTCAACCAGTTGGTTCAAAAACGGTAATTCATTTAGGAACGAAACAAGTGACTGCCTTTATGAGCGATTCTCTGAATCATTCACTCAAATGATTCGTTTTGATGATTCATTCAGGAAGGAAACACCACCTCACAGCTAGCTCTGCACCACCTGCTCTGTGTTGCTATGAGACACGCAGCAGTTCTGCTGCTTTGTTTGGAGCTATTTATGTTGACGGAGCTAAAATAACTGGAAAAGTATATTGTGTCTATAAGTTACAATGTTAACTTCTTGTTTATTGAAATATGGTAAGCAGTATCACACTTGCATTCATGCTGTGCATAAACAGTGTGTGTTTGTATATATACATGTATATATATATACTCTATACTCTAAACTCTAAACAAAAGTCCATAAAAATATGTACTATGTTAATATGAAGGAATTTTTTCGAATGAAAATGAAATGATTTTTTCAGTATTTCAGTGTTTCACCTGTATTTCAAATTACTTGTTACTTGTATTTTCTTACTGTGTACCTAAAAATTATGTAGTATTATACAGTTAAAAATTATAAGGCTAAAATGTTATTTCTTTGTTGTATAAAGGTTATTAAGATGATTATTTCTCAGTTAAGGCGTATGAAGTGGCAACATCATATTAACTGAAAGACTGCATGGAATATTTTTTTTTCAATAAAATAATGCAAAAATTTAAGCTCAAAGATAATTAAAAACAGAGACAATTTTCAAATCTCCTTCAATAATATGTTTTTTAACCTAAAATGTTTAAAAACATTCACAGACATGCTATTTGTGCTATACTGTAGCTGACTATTTGTCTTGTTCATCATTTGTCCATATATACATCTCCAATTCAGAAAAAGAATAAAAGAAAAAAAAGAAAGAAAGAAAGAAAGAAAAAGATCACACTGGTAGCACACAACAAACACTCCTTCCCATTTTACTATCAGATGAAGCCACAAAACCAGAGAAAGAGAGAGAGCTAGAGAGAAAGAGCGAGTGAGCAAGAGAAAGCATTTGCTTGCTCTTCATGCAGTGCCTTAAACTATTTACTGACTCGCACATAAGCACAAACACAGACTACAGGCACACTTGTTTACACATGTGCACTCACTATTTGTCAGTCACTGGGTTACACCTTCTAACTAATAGCAGTCAAGCCACTTTTGCCTGTGTGGTCTCTGATAGCACAGCTCATTTCTGAATTCATGGTCACTCTCAACTGCCTGGCACCCTACACTTCCCATGTTTTGCAACACACCCAAATTTCACAGAAACAAAGCGAAAGAGAGAGAGAGGGGTGAGAGAGAACATGTTTGTGGTGTTAGACTGACACTTTGAACACACATCTTATGACTGGTGGTCCTCCCTTCCTCTTCTCAACCAAACAACTGAGATCTCCACTTCGATGCAGAGGACTAACTTGATAGTTTCTCTGAGTGTCTAATCAGTTAATTAGAGTAAACAGTATTCTTCTGTATATAAATCTTTTGAATAATACTGTGCACCTTGCTTTTGGAAAGGGTGTTTTACGACTGCGAATTACATGTATTAACAAGCAAAATATGATCTCAGTAATGCATTTAGCCAAACAAAGAATGCTTAAAAGATTAGTAAATTAGTAAATGACATGTCAGCAAAAAATATAATAAAAACTAATTTAAAATATTAATAAAAACTATAATATTATCTTAGTGCAGGGGTAGGCAAGTTCGGTCCTAGAGAGCCGCAGTCCTCCAGAGTTCAGCTCCAACCCTGAAAACAAAACTCATCTGCCTATAGCCTTAGTAATCCTGAAGACATTGATTAGCTTGTTCAGGTGTGTTTGATTAGGGTTAAAGCTGAACTCTGCAGGACTGTGGCTCTCTAGGACCGAGGCTCTCTAGGACCGAACTTGTCTACCCCTGTCTTAGTGCTATTAAAATAACAATGCTATACTTGCATGATATGATATGACTAATGATTGAATACTTAATTTTAGAATTTAACTGCCGTTCACACAAAGGATGATAACTCTAACCATAAAGTTTTAATAATCATTCTAATTATATGAGAATATGGAAGTCCACATCACAGTTAAGGCTTGTTCACACCAAAATAATAACTCTAATGGTAACTATGTTAATGTCCACACTAACAAATAATAAAGTGCAATCTGCAGTTACTGTATATCATCTGCTGCTTTAAATGCTCAAGCTTGTTAAAGTTGGGAGCGGATGTCACAGTGTCTGATTGTGGTGCCCTGAACTGGCCACTTAGAGTTGTGGAGTGAGGAGCGGGAAATGCTGAAGCGGAGTGAGTATTGCTTGGAGTGCGGAGAAGAAATTGTTGCCGCTCCACTCCGCTCACATACTCTGGTGTGGACTTCCCTATTCTCACAGAACTAGAGCGATTATTAAAACTTTATAGTTATAGCTATGTTATAGTTATAGTCCTCGGTGTGAACGGGGCTTCATAATGACACAGAGGAACAATACTGGAAACCACTTTCAGAACAAATTTTGTCAGGTAAACAATTAAAAAAAATCTGAATACACCCAACATTAACAAGCTTAAGGATTTAATAATGACAAACAACTCCATTGGTCATATCAACCAATATAGTTATGGTTATAGATATCATTTTTGGTGTTAACAGGTCTGTATACTGTTAATAGGGATTACCATGAGTCCATGACATACTGCTCATCCCTGTTTACAACAAAACTGAGGCTTATAGTTATAGTCCTCGGTGTGAACGGGGCTTCATAATGACACAGAGAAACAATACTGGAAACCACTTTCAGAACAAATTTTGTCAGGTAAACAATTAAAAAAAATCAGAATACACCCAACATTAACAAGCTTAAGGATTTAATAATGACAAACAACTCTTGTAATAAACAGAATCTGGACAGTTATCATCCATTGGTCATATCAACCAATATAGTTATGGTTATAGATATCATTTTTGGTGTTAACAGGTCTGTATACTGTTAATAGGGATTACCATGAGTCCATGACATACTGCTCATCCCTGTTTACAACAAAACTGAGGTACAGCACCGTTATGTATTCTGGGTGGAGGAAGAAAAAGATGTTCCTCCCTCCAGTATCTTGTAACAAGCCAGCATGACCTTGTGTGTGTGTTTATGTGAGAAAACCCAAGGTCAGTTTGGAAAATGCTGTGAGTGGAATTTTAACTGGTTTACTAGGCCATCTGTTGTTGGAGCCTCAGAGAAAGAAAGGAGGAGACAGGGAAATGAAAAATGGGGAATTATTTTAAACTTTTGTTCATTTTAACAATGATTTGTTATGCATGCCACCAAAATCTGTCCTACAAATATTTTTTTTAGGTAAAACACCATTTTTCCTATCTGCACATTATGGGAAGTAGCAGATTGTGCTGCATGAGGAAATTTTGTGGTGTCTGTGTGCCATCTAGTGACCAATATCTAAATCAAAATACTTTATTGGCCAAAAAAACATATATATAAATAAATAAATAATATTAATATTACCACCTTTTGTGGTGCCCTGAACTGGCCACTTAAGGGCACTCTCCCGTTTTTATGTTATATGTGTTGAACTCCATTTCCCATAGTCCCTTGCTTGTCATTATGTCTGATCATGATCGGAAATAATAAACAGGCCCTCAAGTGACCAGTCCAGGGCACCACAACCAGACACTGTGACAGCGGAGCGGCGTGATTTTTGACTGGAGCGAGGAGTGGATTTTTTGAAAGTCGGAGCGTTGTGGTTTTCAGTCGCTCAGAGAGCGCTCCACTACCGCTCCATCACAAGCACAATTAATGCCAACAGCCCGTAATATAACTGCATTTTTTCAAGAATTCACGCATTAAACATCATTATCTAGCTTGACAGATACATGGATCACTCAAATCAGAAAGAATGTGAAGGTTTAATGACGGTGATGGACGAGTGCGGGAGGTTATATCTCAAGCATGTTTGTTTGTAGCATGTGGATACTTAATATTGATTGGGTGAATTCACGTTTTAAACAGTTTTTTGTACAGGTAGCTAATCTCCGCTCTAAACTAATGTGCTGCTACATTGCTGCCCGCGCACACAATATACAAGCTCGCACATAACGTACAGATCGCGCGCACATAGAAACATTCAGGAGTGCAGAAAATTGTGAATGCTGTCCTGTGAATTATCAGCTTAAAAAGTTACAGCATATTCTTTATGTTTCTGAAGTAACTACAACCCTCAGTTTCACCATAGTAGAGAGGCGCTGTACAGACAAGCGAGTTAAACCAGGGGTCACCAAACTCAGTCCTGGAGGGCCGGTGTCCTGCAGAGTTCAGCTCCAACCCAAATCAAACACACTTGAGACAGCTAATCAAGGTCTTACTAGATATACTTGAAACTTCCAGGCAGGTGTGTTGAGGCAAGTTGGAGCTAAACTCTGCAGGACACTGGCCCTCCAGGACCGAGTTTAGAGACCCCTGAGTTAAACAGTCATTTAATATAGACGTGGGCTAATTGTAGTGTTTCAATAAACCACATTAAAACTATTATTTTATTATTGTGTATTTTTTGTTTAATATAAGTTCTGAACATATCTGTGTGATATTTCAAAACATTCTGAAATAATTTAGCCGCAAATTTTGTAATAGAGCGAAGGCAGAGCGGCGTTTCTGATCAGTTGAGAGAGTTGTGGAGTGAGGAGCGGGAAATGCTGAAGCGGAGTGAGTATTGCTTGGAGTGCGGAGAAGAAATTGTTGCCGCTCCACTCCGCTCACATACTCTGGTGTGGACTTCCCTATTCTCACAGAACTAGAGCGATTATTAAAACTTTATAGTTATAGCTATGTTATAGTTATAGTCCTCGGTGTGAACGGGGCTTCATAATGACACAGAGGAACAATACTGGAAACCACTTTCAGAACAAATTTTGTCAGGTAAACAATTAAAAAAAATCTGAATACACCCAACATTAACAAGCTTAAGGATTTAATAATGACAAACAACTCCATTGGTCATATCAACCAATATAGTTATGGTTATAGATATCATTTTTGGTGTTAACAGGTCTGTATACTGTTAATAGGGATTACCATGAGTCCATGACATACTGCTCATCCCTGTTTACAACAAAACTGAGGCACAGCACCGTTTAACACAGTAAAAAGAGAACCCAGTTAAGCTGTTTCAGTTTTAAACTGTTCCAGTTTTACTTTAATAGTTCCTGTTTTAAACTATTTCCTGTTTACATGTATAGCAAACATTATCACAGCAATACAAGTAACATTTGCTCAGACACAGGTAAAATGTGCACTGTGGCTTCTGGTCTGACAGATGAAAGCACAGGGTGAAATGAAAGCTGAGCACAGTGAAACACTTGCACAATTAAGCACAGTAAACATAAACAGATTGCAGATACATGCTAAAAGAAAGTGAGGAAGATCGAACAGCAAATAACATACTGACTGCAGTTAAATGACAAAGCACAATGCTCTGTCACTTACATACTAAATTAAACTGCAATAACAAATTATATACAAGAAATACAGAATTTGAGATGCATTCCATGACAGAGTAACTTATGGAAGAGATACAGCACAGGTAAACTGCTTTGTCATAAAGCACAACACTGAATTTGACAGGCAAGAGGCAATGCAAAACAGCACAGCCACGTGCAAGAAGGCACACAAATGCTGCACTAACACAGCTGAGAATTAGCATGTGTAAAGCATCGCATAACAACAATCTAAAGTCCACAGGCAACTGAAATTAAAATGCAGCCAAGCAGAGCCTTCGGCACAGCACAGTTAAGTAGTATAAAACACTGACAGTGATGGAAAGCAGCAGGGAAAGCACAAGTGTAAGCAATAGTCACAATGCATAGTTCAGCACTTAGTATGTATTAAAGTGCATCCATGCAGCACAGAGAAACACAGCTGTGTTATAAAAACACAGAGAACATGAACTGACAGTGGATCATTATTATACTGCAGTACCTGGTTCTAATGCAGAATGCATCACAGACACACAGGACTTTTACTCACAAATCTCTTTAGCTTCTTCTCCGGAGGGGATTTTATGAGCCATCCTGTGCACACCACATCGCCTGCGCTCATAGCTGCTGCGTCTGTGTGTGTGTGTCCGTTGCTGATTGCAGACTGAGAGGAAAGCAGAGAGAATCCTGTGTTCAACCCCCCCACACACGGAGAGGAGGAACTCACATCATCGACCAGGGACAGAGTGAGAGAGAAAGAGCGAGAGACGGAGGAGGAACAAACAGAGGGTGGGAGGAGAGAGCGTGTGTGTTTTTGTATTTGTGTGTGATCTTTGAGAGGACATGTATGTACAAGCGAACCGTCTGTGTGTGTATTCTGGGTGGAGGAAGAAAAAGATGTTCCTCCCTCCAGTATCTTGTAACAAGCCAGCATGACCTTGTGTGTGTGTTTATGTGAGAAAACCCAAGGTCAGTTTGGAAAATGCTGTGAGTGGAATTTTAACTGGTTTACTAGGCCATCTGTTGTTGGAGCCTCAGAGAAAGAAAGGAGGAGACAGGGAAATGAAAAATGGGGAATTATTTTAAACTTTTGTTCATTTTAACAATGATTTGTTATGCATGCCACCAAAATCTGTCCTACAAATATTTTTTTTAGGTAAAACACCATTTTTCCTATCTGCACATTATGGGAAGTAGCAGATTGTGCTGCATGAGGAAATTTTGTGGTGTCTGTGTGCCATCTAGTGACCAATATCTATATCAAAATACTTTATTGGCCCAAAAAAAAAAATATATAAATAAATAAATAATATTAATATTACCACCTTTTATGATTGTGTGTATAAAACCAACATCCAAAAGCACAAACATAAAATAACATTTGAATTTTTTTTTAAAGTTGGTTTGTTCTAAACCAGAGAGCTGGGGCCCACTATAGGGGGTCTCAAGATAACATAAAATGTATATATAAATAAATAAATAATATTAATATTACCACCTTTTATGATTGTGTGTATAAAACCAACATCCAAAAGCACAAACATAAAATAACATTTGAATTTTTTTTTAAAGTTGGTTTGTTCTAAACCAGAGAGCTGGGGCCCACTATAGGGGGTCTCAAGATAACATAAAATGGTAGACAACAAGCATTAAAAATAAGCAAATATATTTATAAAGATATTTTAATTCACCCCCTCAAAAGGTTTTTTCTTAGAAGAGCCAAGGTTTCATAATGTCTTGAAAAAAAATGGATATACTAGAAATTGTGAGTAAAGCTGATCCATTAAATCACAAACAACTTGAAAAGTCATGAGGACAGTGGGGGTCCTTGGAGTAAGAGAGGCTGAAAACCACTGGTATACAGTATATTCACAGTTTGTGAAAATGAAAATATTAAATACAATTAGAAATTTTAAAAATGTTTGTTAAATATAGTTTTAATTTATTTATTATGTTCTCATTTGTTTTGTTTTTAGAGAACTGTATTAAAATCAGTTAGGGTCATTTGACCCGACATCATAATAATCATTAATCATAATAATAGTTTATGGAACCCACAACAAACAAAAACACACAATGTATTGTCCCGTTTTTAATAATAGATCAATTATAATCTTACAATATCAGGGCATTAAAACGAAAACATTATGATACATTTGATCTTTCTGCCTTGTGTCTCAGTGTTTGATGTTTGACAGTTGCCCATTTTTGAGCATTTGATAATATCGCGAGATCTAGAGAACAGCTCTGAAAGTGACTATGGATCACTCTGTTCTCGCGAGATTTGATATGAAGCTCTGAAAGGGGCGTGCGCGCGCGCCGTGATTGTACGGTCCTGTCATGACGCATACGCCAAAATTATGCTTTATAACTTACTGTCTAGTCACCAGTAACTCATGAAAACCTTCGCACAATAACCAACATGTCGGACGAAGAGCTACCGTCTACTTCTCGGGAGGCGCACGCGGAGGCAGAAGAGGTAAAGCGAAAGAGAGAAGTACAGAATGTGTTTGCAGACGGACATGAAAAGCAGGATGCAGAAGTTTCCAGTTCATCTGCGTTTGGGGGGAACGGAACATGGCGGGAAGGCGGAGTTCAGTTCACATCTGCAGAGCTTTAGATGTTTATTACTCAGTGCTTCAGAGCATGTTTTTGTGGCTTTGACAGATTTGCATGCGTTCCGTCTGCGGTCGGAGCAGAGTTGCGCCACTGTTCATGCAGCCACAGACGGAACGCGTGCAAATCTGTCTAATCAACATCAACAACTATATGCAGACATGCGTAAATAAACATACTCACTGTTACTCTGAGCTGAAATGACTCTGATGCCAATCTGGCTTTATTTGAGCTTATATAAGCCTGGGCCAGTGAGAGGATTGATCTTTTGTCACTATAAGCAGTTTAAGGCCGGGGTCCAACTTTTAGTTACTAAAAAGAGTCGTTTTAATAAGCGATTTAAACATTATATTACATGACTGGTCACACTTCATATTGTTGTTCGTATTGCTGCGTTTACAGAAATCGCTTGTAATCAATTTGTATTGTTATTTATTGTCATACTTTTGTGATTATGATGTAAGATTTGTAACACATCGCCAGTCACCAGTAACTCATGAAAACCTTCGCACAATAACCAACATGTCGGACGAAGAGCTACCGTCTACTTCTCGGGAGGCAGAAGAGGTAAAGCGAAAGAGAGAAGTACAGAATGTGTTTGCAGACGGACATGAAAAGCAGGATGCAGAAGTTTCCAGTTCATCTGCGTTTGGGGGGAACGGAACATGGCGGGAAGGCGGAGTTCAGTTCACATCTGCAGAGCTTTAGATGTTTATTACTCAGTGCTTCAGAGCATGTTTTTGTGGCTTTGACAGATTTGCATGCGTTCCGTCTGCGGTCGGAGCAGAGTTGCGCCACTGTTCATGCAGCCACAGACGGAACGCGTGCAAATCTGTCTAATCAACATCAACAACTATATGCAGACATGCGTAAATAAACATACTCACTGTTACTCTGAGCTGAAATGACTCTGATGCCAATCTGGCTTTATTTGAGCTTATATAAGCCTGGGCCAGTGAGAGGATTGATCTTTTGTCACTATAAGCAGTTTAAGGCCGGGGTCCAACTTTTAGTTACCAAAAAGAGTCGTTTTAATAAGCGATTTAAACATTATATTACATGACTGGTCACATATTGTTGTTCGTATTGCTGCGTTTACAGAAATCGCTTGTAATCAATTTGTATTGTTATTTATTGTCATACTTTTGTGATTATGATGTAAGATTTGTAACACATCGCCTAAAAAGTTACAATGGTAGCCATAGCTTCTGCTAAAATAGCATAACTAGTACAGTTATTGTTACTAGAATAAAATTGTGATACCGTGTATGCCACCACTGGCGTAATAATAGTAATATAAGAAACGTCGGGATCTTATAGTGATTTATTTGGAATGTACAGGAGAAGCAATAATGGTTACCATGGCAACCTGTTGTAACGCATGTTTGCTGTAACTTGTTATTGTGACTCTACTCCAGTGGCGGCTGGTGGAAACATTTCTAGGTAGAGAACCACGTCCAACAACTTTAGCATACATCCCATTATGATTTATCCCAGTATAACAAAAGGAAAAAGATTAAGACTTGAAACATTTTAAATAAAGATAATTGTTTTATCAAATTCAAGATACAATACTCCAAATAGTCCACAGAACGTGACTTGACGCTGATTGGACTATATCCAGGGGCAGAACTAACAGTCTAGAACAGTGACAGCTAGCATAACACTGGTTTAATGGGATCCCTCCCTTTCACTCTTTGGTGGTGCGTCGCTCTAATGAAGACACTTTACGCTGAAGTTACAGGTGAAGTAAGGCTGTAGCTTTGTTTAACTGGATAAAAATAGCCAATTTATATCTGTATTTTTTGGAAACAAAACAAAACAAAAATACATGGTGTTCCACATTCTGTCATCATGTTGTCCTCTAGACCAGTGAATCTCAACCTTTTGGCGTACCGGACCCCAGTCCAATTCAGAACCATCCTCAAGGACCCCCAGAACAAAATTGACTCGTATCATTTGTGTCTTTGTGAGGACCAAGTGCAGTCAAGTATAATTCAAGTTAGCTGACTTGTCCAGTATTTGGCCATATCATAAGCTATATTGGATTTTTCTTTCATGGGAACATGTCATGCCAAAATATACAAAATTTATACAAAAAAAATCATACTTTATACGGACCCCCTGGCCTTATGTCAAGGACCACTAGGGGTTGAGAAACACTGCTCTAGACAACCTGCAAACTGCAGGTTATAAAAATAAATAGTAAATTTATCTATATGTGAAAGGTTTTAATTTGTGACCATTATATTATAAAACAAAAACACCTGTGTACATACAGCTGTAAAGCAGAATTTAATATAACTAAATTATAAGAAATCACACATTTATTCCTCATGGACATAGTAACACGTTACTGTCATTTCTCGGTGGTGGCCTGTTAGAGGCTGAAATGTAGATCAATATTGACCGAGCCAATAAATTATTGCAGCAGGATTGATGTTTATATATTTACTATTAATTATGCTTCCGTACAGAAATGATATTCCCTTGATATTTATCTAATAGTCTTGATAATTAATGACTCTTTATCTATTCGATTACCAACACAATAGCAGGACAAATATTGCAGCACCATATACAGTGACATTTATTTAACTATTTATACACTATTTCATAATGAAACAATTTAAATATTAACCTTTTGTTCAGTCTCACTTGTTTTCAGATCCTTCAATAATTTGCTTTTCATCCATAAAAGTTCTGGTGACACACTAATGTGATACTGAAAGCGGATGGGTCTAAATTGTTACCTCTTATCTTGATTGGTTATATATATGTGATTGGAGATCAGATTATATGCATCTGTGTAAACTGAATGAAATAGAAGGACTGCCACTGTTTTAATATGTTTATATCTAATTAATTTTTTTGAGCTAAATTTAATGTCCAACAATAAATATTTTAGCAAAATTATGATCTTTTTCTAAATAAATCCATCTGTTTCATATGTATATGCGCTGGCACGTATTCAGTGAAGTATGTGAAGTTTAATGGAAACTTGCTGGCTGTCAAGATGAGGACAAAGTGGAAATATTTGCCTGATGAAAGTTATGCATGGAGGAAAACATGTGTCTGACGCATTAAACAGCACATGCATCTGTCACAGCACCTGGGATTGAATAGTTGTTACAATGCATATATTGTCTGCATGTATTGGTATCTAATGTGTGTCTTTGATTTGTGTTTCTAGGAAGACCCACCATTTCTCCTGGACCCTCCTCCTAAAGCAGCTGTGAAGGAGAGCTTGGTTGACCCTGAGTATGAGGAAAAAAGAGTGAGCTTTCATTACACTTTTAATGGTTAATGTTGTGCCAACAGGTTTTTAAATACATTGAGGTGTAAGCCAGTGTTACTCACAGGTGAGAATGAGGTTTGCACTACCAACCCTCAAAACCAACCAGAGATGGAGGTGAAACCTACTAGATGAAGGAATTTACTAGATATTAATCAAACACTGAATTCAGACATGCTTGATGCCTTCCTACTTTCATATACTGCTTGTGAATTCAGCATTTGTTAGGTTTCAGGCACAGTTTAGGTCACTTTTGGCAGAATTTGAAATTCGTTTTAACTGATAGAATACAAATAATGTAAAATCCATCAATCGATTTAAAAAAACAACATATGTGAACATTTGTTTTTTTTTAAAACAAAACTTTATGAAGTTAAAATAGTTTTTAAAGAATTTGAAGTAATCATTTATAATCATAATTTACTCAAAAATCTTTGTCTCTCCCTTGCCTATAGAAAACAGACCGTGCAAACAGGTTTGAGTTCCTGCTGAAGCAGACTGAGCTGTTCGCTCATTTCATTCAGCCTGCCAGTCAGAAATCCCCCACCTCACCTCTGAAGGTGAAGGTGGGGAGACCTCGAATCAAGCTGGATGAGAAACAGAATCTGCTGTCTGTCGGAGAGTGAGTCAGACACACATACACAGACATGCATGCTCACACATTCAGATGCATGGGGTTAGCGATTATTCCCAAAGCTGTTGGTCAGACATGTGTGATTTGGTTTGATTTATTTCTGGCCCGTCTTTGTGCGTTCCAGTAACCGCCATCGTCGAACAGAGCAGGAGGAGGATGAGGAACTCTTATCCGAGAGCAGGAAGGCAGCTAATGTTCTTGTTCGTTTTGAGGAGTCACCCTCATGTATGAATCAATGTTTTTATGAACAGTCAGTCTGTTTCTGTTTATTAATGAGTCTCACACTGTTTTAAATACAAATAGTAATTCATGTTGATACATTATTATATTGGTTATTTAAAAAAAAAAGGCTGTGATTATTTACTCACCCCCATGTCATTTAAAACCCATATGCTGCTATTTTTTCCATGAAACACAAAAAGACTATTTTGAAGAATCTTTATATAGAACTTTTAATATGGTGCAATTTAGTTGACATGACATTTAGTTACGAGACAAGCAAGAATAATTACCATTTGATGTTACTGACATCCAAAAAACTGACATATGACATAATTTTGGCCTGTTCCCCACACAAAGCTATCATATGACTTCAGAAGTATCTGAATATAGTCATATGGGCTACTTTTATAGTTATTTCAGTGCTTTTTTTTGTTCTTTCTGGATCTTGACAGTTCGTAGTCACTACATGTTTTTTTTATGATAAAGGTTCTTTAAAAAAAAAAAAAAATCTAATTTTGTATTCCACAGAAAAAAATAACAGCATACAGGTTTGAAACCAATTGAGAGTAAGTAAATTTCTTAACAGCAGTGGTCCTCAACCAGGGTACTTGGGGCCCACTAGGGGGCCTCAGCAAAATTCCAAGGGGTCTCAAAATGACTTAAAATTATTTCAAATTAAACAAAACAAGCATTAAAATAAGCCAAAACAACTAAAAAAACTTTTCTTTTAATTCACGCACTCAACTTTTTTTCCTTAGAAGAACTAGGATTTACACTTTCTTTGAAAACCTGGTTATATGAAATAGACATTAACATGATCTAAAAAAATCATGTAAATTAATAAAATATTATTATTATTATATTATTATTTAATATTATTAACTTTATGGTCAGTTTTTATAATGAGTTTACTTTTTTTCTAGTTATGCCAAGCTCCAAAATATTTTATCAGGTAGAAATTGTGAATAAAAAATATAAAAGAAAAAAAAAATCTTTATCCTTAATCCTTGTTGCAAACAATGATGGGCCTTGGAGTCAACATTTTTGGGAAACACTGCTTTAAAGGTGAAGTGTGAAATTTCTAATTTTTTGATTCATTGACAGATGTTAAGAATGGAGCTTTGAGAGATTATCAAATCCGAGGCCTGAACTGGATGATTTCTCTGTATGAGAACGGCATCAATGGCATCCTGGCTGATGAGATGGTAAAACCCCAATCTCTCTCTAATGTTTTAAAATAAAGCTCAGCACACTGAAATACAGCATGTTCATAGTGGCAGGTCTGCTTAAAAGCAACTATATATGATTTAATCCTTAGTTGAATGCCTACATGTTCAGAAATAGTCTGAATATGCGTCATTGCAGAACCACACAGATTCATGACAATGAAAACACGGCTACAGCATCTTTTCAGAGGCTTCAGTGAGACTGTGATTTTTCTGGGTCTTGTTGATGTCATAGACTGTGACTCACTGGATTTCTGTGTTCTGATTGGTTCAGGGTCTGGGTAAGACCCTGCAGACAATTGCGTTGCTAGGCTACCTTAAGCACTATAGGAACATTCCCGGCCCCCACATGGTCCTAGTGCCCAAATCTACCCTGCATAACTGGATGAATGAATTCAAACGCTGGGTGCCCACCCTGAAGGCCGTCTGTCTCATCGGGAATAAAGATGAAAGAGTAAGGCTGCTCAAGTCCTTCTTTTTTTCTCAAGCTTTACTTTGTTCTTTTGCCTTTCTACCCACTTTCATCCTACCAGCAGGTCTGTCAAAATGCTTGTGTAATAATTAATCAGTTCTAATTAGTATGTGCATGTTTTTAGGCAGCGTTCATACGTGATGTGATGATGCCCGGTGAATGGGATGTGTGCGTGACATCATACGAGATGGTGATTCGGGAGAAATCTGTCTTTAAGAAGTTTAACTGGCGCTATCTGGTTATCGATGAGGCCCATCGCATCAAAAACGAGAAATCAAAGGTATTCGAACCCAGACAAACATTTGATGAGAACCAATTAATACAAGAGTAACTAAAAAGCAGAGCAGTACGTCTCATAACACTTCTGAGATGATTTAATGATCCTATATAGTGGAAAAGACTTCAGAGCCATCTTTTCTGTGTTTTTCTGTCTTGCTGTCTCTCTCTCTCTTATCTCCGGCTCACAGTTGTCAGAGATTGTGCGTGAGTTTAAGACGACCAATCGTCTGTTGTTGACTGGTACCCCACTGCAGAATAATCTACATGAGCTCTGGTCGCTTTTGAACTTTCTGCTGCCTGATGTGTTCAACTCTGCCAGTGTGAGTCATACTTTTTGAAATATTGCAGGCTGTTTTATCTCCACCTACACGTTATGTTGCTGTATCTGTCACAGTTGTGTTGGAAGTTTGTGTGCAAATGTGTTGTGTGTTTAAAGAAGTCTTCACCTTAGATTATAAAACAAAGTTTATCATCAAATCAGCAAAGAGACTGGGAAAAAATGGCTTCAGATTGTTTTTAGTTGAATTTAAATTTTCTTGATTCTACAGTACTGTTTAAAATTTGGGGCCAGTTATGTATATATATGTGTGTGTGTGTGTGTGTGTGTGAAATCAATACTTTTATTTAGCAAGGAGGCTGTAAATTTATCAAAAGTGACAGTAAAGACTTTAAAGGGGTCATATGATGTTGCTAAAAAGAACATTATTTTGCCTTTCAGATACTGGATCACAGTCGCATTGCACTTGACCACATTAAAAGTCAAGTGTAAATTTACTAGATGCATTGTAATCCTATCACTGAAGCAACACTCAGAGGCAGGCAGGGACAGTTTCTGACCACTCGAAGATGTAAATGCTGATGTGCTTTTGTTATCTGCGTAAAACATAAGACTGTAAGTATTAACAGGTTCAGGTTGTGCTGCAAATTATTTAAAACTTTGATGGACTGAGTTGTAAATTTTTCGTCATGCTTATTTTTTTCCATCAGTAAAATATTGAGTCATTAATCTTTAATGTAACATTGATATCACAAGAACTTGTGTGGTAAAAACCTTTTAGATTTACCAAGTGCTGCGTTGCGGCTTTGTTATTTTATTTTGTTCTAATCATGTAAGAAAAAAGCAAAAAAAGAGGCTGTTGTCTTGTGTTTTGATCACCCGACTAAATGATCAATATTGCATGTGTTATTCTGCAGAACTAGACTGGGAATTTCTTATTTTTCTCCACAAATCATCACTCACATCTCTCTTCATTTTCACGGGGGCGCTTTAAAACTTGCCATATGGTTTGATAAACACTTTGAGTGATTATTTATAGTGTGTATGGCATTGCACTTGACCACATTAAAAGTCAAGTGTAAATTTACTAGATGCATTGTAATCCTATCACTGAAGCAACACTCAGAGGCAGGCAGGGACAGTTTCTGACCACTCGAAGATGTAAATGCTGATGTGCTTTTGTTATCTGCGTAAAACATAAGACTGTAAGTATTAACAGGTTCAGGTTGTGCTGCAAATTATTTAAAACTTTGATGGACTGAGTTGTAAATTTTTCGTCATGCTTATTTTTTTCCATCAGTAAAATATTGAGTCATTAATCTTTAATGTAACATTGATATCACAAGAACTTGTGTGGTAAAAACCTTTTAGATTTACCAAGTGCTGCGTTGCGGCTTTGTTATTTTATTTTGTTCTAATCATGTAAGAAAAAAGCAAAAAAAGAGGCTGTTGTCTTGTGTTTTGATCACCCAACTAAATGATCAATATTGCATGTGTTATTCTGCAGAACTAGACTGGGAATTTCTTATTTTTCTCCACAAATCATCACTCACATCTCTCTTCATTTTCACGGGGGCGCTTTAAAACTTGCCATATGGTTTGATAAACACTTTGAGTGATTATTTATAGTGTGTATGCTGCGTACTGGTGAAAACTAAAATATACTGTAAACAAACACTGTTGCTTATCAGCCGGATTTGTATTAATTTTTTAACTCATCTGTGTATGGGTTGTCTGAATGACTACAGTAGTCTGTCTTAAGGCAGCCCTGCATAATTAGACTAGTTTAGGGTCATAACTGCTAACCAGTCGTGTTTCTTGCAAGGATGCTAATCTCAGTCATGACAGATATTTATAAAAGAAAAATAACTTAATTTTTATTGCACAAATAGCAGAGACCTAAGGTTTATGCATGAATAACTGGACATTTTTTCACTGCAAGCAATTTGTCCATCAGTAAGACTAGTAAACCATCCTGCCTAGTTGCTAGTTTAGAGAAGTACTTGGCAATGTAAACTACTAAACAAGCTCTATATGTGGAAAAAAATCAATTTGCAGTTATGTTGGAATAATACAAAAAATCGTACACAGTGTTTGTTTCCTTGGTTTAACTAGGTACACACGTATCCTGATGAAGGATATTGACATCCTGAATTCTGCCGGAAAGATGGATAAGATGCGGCTTTTGAATATTCTGATGCAGCTGCGGAAATGCTGCAACCATCCGTACCTGTTTGACGGGGCGGAGCCTGGTCCCCCATACACCACGGACACACACTTAGTCACCAACAGCGGCAAGATGGTTGTGCTGGATAAACTTCTGCCTAAAGTGCAAGAGCAAGGTGAGCAGTGTATATGTTTATTAGCTTTTAATTGATAGATATTTTGTCATGTTTTTAGTTGGAATGAAGATGAATTTTTTCATGTGCTTGTGAATGCATTCCTGGATATATGTGTGTGCAGGATCCAGAGTGTTAATATTTAGCCAGATGACACGTGTGTTGGATATTCTGGAAGATTATTGCATGTGGAGAGGGTTTGAGTACTGCAGATTGGATGGCAATACACCTCACCAGGCCAGAGAGGTATACATACATACATTAACCACGCACATACATACATACATTAAAATGCATACATAGTTTCATGCAGACACATACATGTTATGCAGCAAATGGCTCTTAACTTATTATTATTATTATTTTTTTATTGAATCAAAATCAGCATAACCTGTGTAGTTCAACCGATTCATGAACAAGTGACTCTTTTGAGTCAGTTATGAATAGTGAATCAGTGATTATTGACTGGTTCTTTAAATGACAATTTTCAGTTAAAGAGACGCATTATGAGTTTTGTAAATAGCAAAACAACAACAAAAAATAATGAATAAAGTATATTACTTTTTTTTTTTTAATTATATATATACTATACATAGAGAGTTTTTCCCTATATACATGTGCTAAAATGAACTGTAAATAATACTCTTTTTAAAGCTGAAAAAAGCTGGGGCCATGCTGTTTGTAGATTGTTTAGTATTGTTTAATATTTAATATATAGTTTGCAGGGCTTAAAGTTCTCCGGCACCATGCTGGATCTCCGGCGTGCAGCATTTGGCTGCGGAAAAAAATAATCCTACATTTAAAAAAAACTTGTTGATATCACTTTTGAGTCCATGCGTTCGCCTACCAATGGTATGAGAGGAGCACAGCTTTCACTCTCAACCAAACTAACATTACTAGCCAATCAGAATTTTTTTCTCTTATAAACACGAGATGCGCATAATAGTATCCAATTGCAGAGTCGCAGTCCTGATGAATGGAGAAGCGTGACACGTTGAAAAAGCTGCGAGGCGCAATGGTCAAAGATGTCCATCTAACGCATATTTATATAGGAAAACTAATTAAAAAGCAGCGGAGCTTTGTAAACAGCTCAGAGTAATCATGTCATCGCCATAAGAACGATACGATTGCCAGAACAAATTTATCAGGATTTTTGAAAAGGTCCTGTTCACACATGATCTGTTAATGGTAACTTACCGGTGATTTACCAGTAAAGACTGTATGTGTGATAGGGGCTAAACTCTTCCTCTGCATATGCATATGCTGTGAATTTGAATTGCTTAATGTTCATCTGGGAAAACAGTGTGCATTATCTCACTAGATTTGTAACGTAAATCATTTATAAACCTTTGCCAACTCAGGAGAATACATCAATCTATTTCTAAATATGCCATTTATTGTACATCACGATTTCAAAATAAAAGTTTCTGAGTTTGCATGTGCCCAAATATTAAAAGTTAATGGATTTAAACATCGTTGAATCATGCTGTAAAGTGAAACGTCACCAGGCTGTTGCTGCCCTCTGCCTGTATTCGTTATAATACATAATGACACTAAAGGTGGTTATGTTTATAATATGTATAGGCATATTGCAATGTGTATTTTAACAGTGTTGTTCAATAAAACCATGTAATTACTTGGTTTTGATATTTTATTTGAGTCAGTTATTATTGCCTCATCGTTAGTTTATATATAAATAGTCATACTAAAGCTTGGTTCCCCTTCAGGACCTCGAGCTGCGTCGAGAATCACTTTGGGAATGCCCCTGCGTGACCGCGTTCTGAAGCACGTGTAAAATCAGCCCAATGGAGCAGTGAGACGTCAGGAGCGGGGTGACGTGAGCACCAGGAAGTATAAAAGCGCATCCGGCAGAGCGCAAGTTAGCTTCTGCTCTTCAGTAGCACTCTGTGTATGTGTCAGTCCTATTTATTGTTGTCTGTCAGCCACAAGCATATCAATCATGTCAAAAGCAAAGTCTAAGTCTATGGCGAGCGAACAGCATTACAGACGTTGTGTTCCTCCCTGCCCACGATATCTGGCAGCGGGGGATACACACGATCTGTGTGTTGTTTGTTTAGGAGCGGAGCATGCACGGTCAGCTCTAGAGGGAGCTGATTGTCATGACCGTGTGTTGCTCTCGCTGCGCGTGCTCCGCTCTCACCTGGCCGTGTTTGATGAGAGCGGCCATGCTCGCGATTACGCTGGCAGAGGTCCCGCTGTTGCCGAGGCGCAGCGTAGACTGTTGTCATGGGGATCGCAAGTGGATTTAGCAGAGGGATCCGAGACGGGCTCGTCCTTTTCTCGGCCCTCACCCACTAGATCCACGGCTTCCTCTCAGGGATTGGAAGCCTTTCTTCCCCCCGGAGAGAGAGCCAGGCACTTCATCTATCTTCCTCCGAGGAGGTGGATGTGATGAGTGTTGAGACAGAGGAAACTGTGGACTCGCCACCACAGTCCCTCGCATATGAGGAGCTCGTGGAGGTTGTGACTCGTGCTGTAGCCAAATTAAATATCGATTGGCCAGCCGAGAAACAGGACGCTCGTCCTAAAAGTAAATTAGATGAGCGTTTCCTGAGAGCTAGATCCCAGCCTTCATGACGAGGCCTTCCATTTTTCCCCGATCTCCATGCCGAGGTGTCAAGATCGTGGGAGAACCCGTATTCATCCCGTATCTACAGCCCCACAGTCTCAAATTATTCCAACATTGTGGGGCTGAATGAGAAGGGATATGGGGCGATGCCAATGGTGGAGCAGACGCTTGCGAGCTTTCTCTCCCCATCTTCAGCGTCGTCCCTGAAGGCCCCGAAGCTTCCCACCAGGCCCGTTAGGCTGACATCTAGTCTGGTTGGGAAAGCTTATACGGCGGCAGGTCAGGCTGGCACATGTTTGCACACCATGGCAGTGTTACAAGCATACCAGGCTGACCTGCTCAGGGACCTGGATGACAGGGAGGAGGAGGAATCCGACGTGATAGCCGAACTGCGTCGGGCCACAGATTTGTCCCTCCGAGCCACCAAAGAAACGGCCAGAGCCATCGGCCGTTCAATGGCAATAATGGTGGCCATGGAGTGGCATCTGTGGTTGAATCTGTCTGATATGCAAGATAAGGACAGATTCTTCCTCCTAGACGCCCCGCTCTCACCCTCTGGTCTTTTTGGCGATGCAGTCAACACTGTCGTCGAGAGGTTTCAGCAGGCGAGGAAGCAAACGGCGGCGTTTCAACGTTTCCTCCCTTGTCATTCCCAGGCCCATGGCCGTCAAGCTCCTCATACCGCCAGTCTCAAAAACAGACCATTGCAACCCGCACCCCTCTGCAGAAAGAACGGGGGTCGGGGCGACGCTCTCAGTCGGGGTCTTCTAGACCGAAGACGGATCTGCGGACGGTTATTTTGTAAAAGAGGACCTCGACTAAGTGGTCCTGACGCCACCATTGTCAGGCCCCTGAGGGCAGCCCCACCTGGGGAGGAAAGGATAACACCTCAGTATACAGTGCCCGATCCTCCTCAGTGCCCTCACGGAGATTCACTGATACCCCTGCCACCCTCTGTGCTTCAGGACTCAGTGAGCTCCGACGAGCGAAATTCAGTCAGGTCGGTCATTCCCTGCCGGTCATCCGCTTCAGGGCACTGAACTGGCTCTTCTAATAACACCAGAGGTCACCCTCGAAATTGGGTGTGGCCTTGCAGGACATTTGTGCTGCGGCGGGCTGGTCCTCAGTGCACACTTTTGTCCGCTTCTATAACCTAGACCTGGCATCTACCTCAGGTTCCCAAGTTCTCTCTTCGTGATGTGCTCATGAGATACACACACAGGCAGGGACTTGGTAGTATGGCGCAGTGGGTATTCTCGTTCCCAAAGCGATTCTCGACGCAGCTCGAGTTCCTGAAGGAGAATGTCTCTAGGTTACGTATGTAACGAGATGCTGCATCTCTTTGCCATACTCCCTGCATCCCTGCAGGCGCTACTTCATCGAAGCTAACTTGCGCTCTGCCGGATGCGCTTTTATACTTCCTGGTGCTCACATCACCCCACTCATGACGTCTCGCTGCTCCATTGGGCTGATTTTACACGTGCTTCAGAATGCGGTCACGCAGGGACGTTCCCAAAGTGATTCTCGACGCAGCGTCTCGTTCCCTCGGGGAACCATGGGTACATACGTAACCTAGAGACGTTTTCACTTAAGCCTAGCTCACACTATAAGATTTTTAGCCCGATTTAGCCCCAATTTCCCCCTCCTGAGAATCGGAGCAAAAATCTTGTCGAGCCCCTTAATCGGTCCCGATGTTCGGCGCGGATTATCTGGTAATGTGAGGTGTTCACCAATCGAATCTTGCACCTCCCGATCTGCTCGCACACAAATCAGGGCCGCACCAATCATATCAAACATGTTTGATATTTAGGATTTAAATCGGGATGATGACGGCTTTATGATTACGTCAGTACTTTCACAATAGCCAATGCGCGACCACAAAACATATGCTGTACGACCCCGTTGGATAGTGGAGACAGATTGTGGAGACGGAGGAAACTGCTTCTTGACGTTTTATAGTAACACGACTGTTTGTATAATGTGTTGAAAACGTATCACACCCGTAAGGAGTGGCTAAGAGAAGCGCTGGAGTGAAATCGCCTCAGTTTTGAATGTACCGGGTGAGTGTAGAAAGCAGCTAACATATGTAAACATCACTGAAATATCAATGACGATCTACTGCACAAGATCACGTGAGGCGCTCCCTCTGGCATGATAATCTTAATAATATCTTGTATTGTGTGATGCGCCATGATGTTAAAATCTTGTAGTGTGTGCATGTTTAAGATTTGAGGGAAGATAATCTACAAAGATTCTGCTTATGTGTGTGCTGCAACCAGATTTCATAATCGGTTAGGATTTTAAAACTCCTGTAGTGTGAGCCCGGCTCTATTTGTGTTACTAAAAAAATATCAGATTACTCAATTGTCAAAACAATCAGTAGATTACTTGATTACCAAAATAATCATTAGTTACAGCCCTAGATTAGTTAAAATATTTCAAAATACAACTGCATTGTTTTACTTTTTGTAATTAAAAGACAAACATTTTGTCATTGAAAATTTCTTAAAAATAGTATTAAAATATTGTCATGGTCTAGTGAACCAAGTATCTGTATTTTGTCTCATCTCGTGAGCTAAGTGTATTGTCACACCCCTAGTGTCAATAAGTGGTGATATAGCTCATAATTTTCCAAGTGTATGATATAGCTTTCATTCTTCAGGTCAACCATATATTCATGAAAAAAAAATCAGTTTGAATAAGGAAAGCAATAACTTTGCCATAGTATCTTTTCAAATGTTAAAGAAAGGACAGAATCTCAGTCAATACATCACGATTCCCATCTCTAAATACCATGTGGTATAAAGGAGTGATTCAACAGGCCTTATGAAATTATGAGACTCGTACAGATACTTCATGTGGAATCTCAGCAGAGTTTATATAAACACACTGATTATACAACCTGGTAGTCATGGAAACCGCTGATCAGTTCTGGGGTGAATGCAAACTTGGTGGTTACATGTTAGACACACTCATAAGCTTATTAGCAAATAATATATAAGCAAATTAAAAGTGTCAGTTTCTTCTTGTATCAATTTCAAATCTAACAACCAGTTTGTCTGTTTTTAATGTTTTTAGTGAATTTTAAGTAAATATTGTTATACGAATCTGTTTGATTTCATTCATTATATCTAGGTAAATTTGTTGTATATGTAAAAATCAGTTTTATACACAAATTGCTTTATTTATATGTAAATCGGCCACTGACCACACTGATTGACTACTAATGATAAGTAAACCATATGAATTATAATTATATAAGTGGTTCAAATAAATAATTTATGTCTCTCTTAAATGCTGTCTTTCTCTTTTCATGTCTTTTCCAATCTCTGTTGTTGTCCATTAGCAAGCCATAGATGCTTTTAATGCCCCAAACAGCAGTAAATTTATCTTCATGCTGAGCACACGGGCAGGTGGGCTGGGGATTAATTTGGCTACAGCTGATGTGGTGATTCTCTACGACTCGGACTGGAACCCACAGGTGGACCTGCAGGCCATGGTGAGAAACACTGCACACACACACACAAAACTACAAAACCAAGCTCACTAAATTTTATGATTGTGAGCCTCAGAGAGATGCCAACTTTCTTTATGAGTGTTGTCTTAAATGGTTGTTGTGCCGTGTACTGTATTTTAGGACCGTGCTCACCGTATTGGACAGAGGAAACCAGTAAAAGTGTTCAGGTTGATCACAGACAACACAGTGGAGGAGAGAATTGTGGAGAGAGCGGAGATGAAACTTCGTCTGGACTCTATAGTGATTCAGCAGGGTATGAACACACTAGGGGTAAAACAGTTCCTGCAAAGAAAAAAATTATTCCTCATGGTTCAGTTCTCATGTTTAATGATACCTCTAAAAATATAAATATTAAAACTGTATGAATTTTAAGGTCTCTATTTTCCAAAAGTAATTAGAGTAATTCTCTCTCTCTGAATGGCTGTACTGGCAGAGAGGAAATGTATTTAACAGTCAATTAAACAAAAAAACTCAAACTTAGTATTGCAAATGTGTAATTATAAGTAATTTGCATTACTTAAAGTAAACAAAACCCTAAAGATGGTTTGCAAATTGTAGATGATAATTGATTTCCCACTAGAGCAGTTTTTGAGCTATCATTGGATGCATGAGTTTGGTGTATGATGTTGAAACACTACTGTTCAAAAGACACTACTGTTTAAAAGTTTTTATTTGGAATTTAAAAGATTGGTGCATTAAGAACTAATTGCAGTGGGGGAAAAAATGGTTAGTAGTGTATGTAGTTACCTAACCAATATGTGACACAAACTGAACTGTGAAAAATGTAAGTATATATATATATATATATATATATATATATATATATATATATATATATATA